TGTTAAAACATTTATTAAATATTATTATATAAAATTTATTAATAAAAATATCATATTAAATATAATTAATATTGGATAATTATCTTAATTTATCACATTTAAATATGTTATTAATGATTTGAAGATTTAAAATAAGATTTTTAAAAATTACAGAAACTAAAAATAATAATTTTAAATTTAAAAAATCAAAAATAAATTTATCTTAAATTTTACTAAAAACAAATATATTTAAGCCTTTATTCTTTTTAAAGTTAAAATGCTCGGGAGACAAGACATATTCCTCACTCCTGCATTTCTCCTTTTATGATTCACATCATTTCCAAAGACCTCAATCTCTTAAAATAAGGGAAAAGAAAAGGATAAACAGGCATTTTCCTGAATGCAAGCTAACAAACAATTAATTTCAAATATATGGCAAGAATGATGGTTTATATTAATATTTTCGGATTAATTCCGATTAAAACCCGACCAAATGTCGAACAAAAAATTTAAATATGCAAACCATGCTATTGTGGCTTGCCCTCCTTACTGGTACAATAAATTAATACAGTACAATTTATTGGCGTCCAAAATGTAGCCCGTCGAAAATTACACCATGATCTCTCTAATTTGATAAAGGTGCTCCGTGAACACGAAAAAAATACAAAAATAATGCCTATGTGATCATCATTTATCAAAATCAATGACTACAAAACTGAGAAAGTTGCACTCTCTGCATTGAACCCCAAAATAAATGGGTCATTACTAGTGTGGTTTCGGCACATAACCATCAACAGCGAAGTTCCGAGTGGCAGCAGGGATGGCCAATCGAATTTTCAAGTTCAGGTTTTGCAATCACTTGACAACCCAGACGTGATCTGCATAGTTTTAAAAATTAGTCAAGGTCCAATTTTGGGTGCCAAATACGGAAAATGAAAATTTCAAAACCCGTGTTCATGTATAGGATACCCACGTTTCAGTAAGTCCAAAAGCTAGATCCAACATGTCGTTTTCCTCATCAGTTGGATCTTCCAATTTATTGTAATGTTCTACGTCCTGCACAGTAATTAGATCCTCTTGAAAATGGAAAACGGTACAAAAAAAAAACAAAAATAATTCAAGCAGCATTTCATTGCATATATCACCCATGATGTACCATGATTATAACATGGCAAGTTGAACACGCAAGCGAGCCCTCGCATGCTCCTGCAACAACATCAAGTAAGAAATAAGGTATGCCAATTAAGTAACTGGCCGAGTGCGAATACTTGACAGGATGCAAATCGAAATGTTATGTGGCACACGAGAAGAGTCAGCATATCCATCATAAGCAAGGGGACAAGGTTCTTCTCAATTGAACAACTTGTCTCTAAAGTGGGCAAGTAAAAGTTTATTCAGCCTTCATTTGATTTAAAAGTGTATAGTAATTTGTGCCTAAACCCATTAAAATTCAAGGGTACAGACACTAACTTGCTAACTTTAAACAGTCTCCTTTTAAGGGAGTTTTTTTCCTAAGCAAAGGCAACACCCAAAATAGACTACCAAAGTCTAGAATGAAAACGAATCTAGGAAATTCAACAACAAAAAAGATTATCCCCATAGGAAGTGTGGCTAGATGGATCAAATAAGAGCTATGTGCTGTCAAACATTTAAAAAAAGAGAACAGTATTCGGAAGACTAAAATAAATCTTAAAGAGGCCAAATAATAGAATTCTTAAATCAAAGATCTTGCCTTCTAGTTCAATGTCATTTTCATGAGCAGCTTCTAACATAGACATTCCAACAGGAACTCTGATATGCTGTTCTTCACCATCCTTATCAATAAAAGTTACAGATATCCTGCATTATATTGCCTCAGAGTAAGGAGCAGAATGACAGCTATCCATTAAAAAAATAAATTCATGATGCACTATTGTTATCTAATAAAATATATGGGCAAGGTACAACTGGTCCATCAGTAATTGTCTAATCTGTCCCAAGGGAAGTTAACACTGGCTGGTCGCTTGTATATAGGTTAGCATTTGATTAGTAGGTAGATTATTACCATCTACTATGATCATGAGATTTGGAAAGTAAAACTTTTCAAGGAAATGTGCCTGCTGCAACAACTGAGGCTTAGTGATTTTGCTATTGTTTCCATTATGGTTAAAATATCAGAATCAAGCAGCAACCTAACTCCTGCTCAGATATCATACCATATCCCCATGGCAGACAACATGAAATCTTAGTTGGATGCATAAACATGATGTAAAGTTAGAGCAGAGTGCTAAACCTCAATTCTCATGTGACATTAACATTCTCTGCTTCTGACAAGCTCAGCTACATAATGTCAGTTCTTAAATCTTTTGTTTTGAGGGGGATCAGAATATTGCATATGCTGTATGATAAAGTGTAACCATGTTAACCACTAGAGTTGGTCTAGTTGTAGGGGGTTGAAAGAGTATTCACATGGTCCTAAGTTCAAACTCTATTGCTGTTGTTATATTCTTATGGATAAAAAAAACAGTGTAACCATGTTATATTTTGACAGATAACATGGGTACACTTAAATAACTTAGATTGTCTAGGAAAAAAATAGACAATACGAGAGCCATTTTATAAGATTGGAAATTTCTTGTTCAATGACCAAATCATGCTTAGCAAGAAACAAGAAAACAGCAGTTAACAAACAGTATGTGAAGTGGACCCATCTTAACTGTCAAAAACATAACATCATCGCAAAGAAAATTACCATATTTTACATGGGAATTTTATAATATTCATTTTTTTAAGTGTCCATAATCTTAACAAAACATTGGTGAAATAATATACATATATAATCAACATTTCTGCATCCAAAATTACAACACAAACACAACCAATTGAAAGATTTTGAAAATTTGAACGCTGTGACATTTAAAAAAGGATTGCATACTCACAGAATATGTCATCTCAAATAAAAAGAACTTACGTTTCTTTCTGTTCACTCCTGTCCTCAGTAGTGTTGTTAGTAGTCATTGTTGAAAGGAAATGATGCTTTTCAATCATGGCACCCTTGTATAACTTAGTAAATGAATGCTGTTGAAACTATTAAAAAAAAAACTCATAAAAACAGAGATAAGCATAAACCAATGCCATAAGAAAATAAAAAATTAACAAAACAATTTCTCCATTAACCCTGAAGCAAATGTTTACACAATTTCTAAAATTTGAGGATTGCACAAACATTTTGCCATTTAGTTTCAAATTTGACATTTATCTAAAATGTTAATTATTATAAAACCCTCAGCCATATAATCTCCCCCTACTCCAATCCTAATAGAAGACTTCCAGATTTCTAGGTTATTTTGTTTACTAAATGCTAATTTTGTTCCAACGATTCAAAGACAACAAATCCCTACTAGTATTAAGATCAATGTACGAAACCAATAAAGTGATACATAAAACCAGAGTACAGTGTTAAATTTATCTACATCTTCAGAATAGTCAGAACCAGAAGCAGAGAAAAACATCGCACTAATTGGATCCATTTTTTTTCCATTCCTCTGCAAACCACAAACTTATTGGCCATTTTCCTACAGAGTGGAGAATCAATCACTTCAACTCCAACCTCCAAGTCCCTTCTAATGATAGAAAAGGTTAATGTCATCATCACACCCTCCCAATCATTCAATATCTCCAATCTTCTTGATATACGCCCATACTCCATAGTTTAATATCTATTTCATCAAAGTGCAGAACACAACATACTTCAAAAACATGAGCACTCACTTTTCACAAGAAACAAAATAAACAAAAAACAGATTATATTCTGGTTGTTATTCAAACAAAGCTAAAAATCATACAAGCGTCTGCATCCATCAAGTAAACTTAATTTGTTACTATCTATTGAGGAAGTAAATACGATGTGAAAATAACAATTCATAGCTTAATAGAATGATTCAAAAAGCATGGCTGTTCCAGATTGTTAAACTTGAGAGAAAAATAATCAGGAAAGGAAAAAAGGACATTCCAAATTCAGGGACTTGTTGAAAAAGAAATGACTAACCGGAGGTTGCAGGTAATTATATCTGGCGCTTCGAATATATCCTACTCTACACATGGATGAACAATTCCCTGTCAAAGTATAAAAAAATAAAAATGATTTGAATTATAGAGTCAATACCATTAGATGTTCTGATCATGCTATGCACATTATAATATGATGATAGCAAGAGGATATGTATATAATATGCAGAGAGAGGAATATTAACAAGAAGAAGTACTTGTGTAGAGGTGTTTGGCGATCGAAGCTCCGACTCTGGCTAATCTGGAATTTAGCATAGTGATTTTAGGGGTTTAAGAAACCCTAAAGTTGCAGAGGAAATAAATAAATTGATATGAAAAAAGGATCTTCACTCGGGAGAAAAAAAATGCAATTTGAGAAGTTAGGTCTGATTTTAGGGTTTAAGAAACCCTAGCCCTAAAATTGCAAAGGAAATATAAATATAAATTGATATGAAAAGGGATCTCCGGTCCAGAAAAATTAAGTGTAGACGATAACAATAGCCACAAAGCATGAGTGACAGAGTTGAGTTGCAAAATCAGGCTCCAGAACAGAACGATGAGATGAGACACTCCAAGCCCAATAATCCAAGCCCAACCATGAAATTGTGCAACCTTTTATTCATGACGTTTGCTTAACTTGGATTTGGTTGACACTCGCTCCACTTCATTTTGCTTAATATTTTCTCTCCATTAGATGTGTATTTTTCACCTTACAACCACAACAGAAAAAAAAAAATGGTTTTCAATTATAAAAATAACTTGATACACAAACTAAAATACTAGTCAAAATTGCATGAATTTAGTATTTCATTGATTTTATTGAACTTGAAACTCACAAACTGTTGATTTTTATCCAGATATTTAGTATTTTACTATAGAATATGGATATCAAATATTTTTAGCTGTTTAGAAATATGAAAATTATTGAAAGAAAAGTTGATCAAATTTATAGGATTTTATAATATGCAATATTAGGATTTGAAGAGAAGAATTTCAAGATTTTTTTTAATTTTTTTAGGTAAACTTTAATAATGCTAATAGAAGACGATGTAATCAATTTAATTATAAAAAAATAATAAATTTTTGAAATTTAAAAACCTAAGTAGGAAAAATTGAACAGAAAGAATAAATTTGCTAATTTTAAAAATTAATTAACTTGAGAAACATAAAAGAATAAAATATGTTAGTTCGAAGAAAAATAAATATATAATTAAGGGCACATACTAATGTGCCAGAGAGGGAAGTAAAGTCTAATAACTTTATTCCTTGGTGTTGGTGATATCCTAAACAACCTGGTTTATAAGAAAAGCAGACAGATCAATTAAACCGGACAACTTTAATCATACATCATAACAATCAAAGGCATGAAAATAGAATCACCGACAAATTAAATAAAGATCAGTTAGAAAATCTATATAATTTATAAAAATCACAATTTTTTTTTCCAGCAACTATGTTTATGTGTATAACCTATAAAATTGTATAAAATGTTTTTAGTGTCCATTTTTACATGATTTTTTTTCTTATTTTCTTTTCTATTTTATTCCAAAACTTTTATTATTTTCAATTATTTAATACAGGTATGAAGTATTTTTTTTCCCTTGCCAGTGTAAATAATAATGAAATGCTATATTCACATTAATGGTTTAAATTATTCCATTTTCAGCGGAATGAGAAAATTTAATTATATGTTAATATTTAAAAAAATTAAATTACATTTTTAATTCTTCTATTTTTATTAATATGTAAATTTGGACTCTTTATTTTAAAATATAGTTATTTAGACCTTTTATTTTTTAAAATATAAAATTTTGATTATAACATCAATTTGATATTTGTTAATCGTTAATGGTTGAATTTTAATATTGTCTAATAAATTGTCACTACTTAAATGATGTAATATGACTAAAAATTTAAAATAATATATAACTTTTTTTTATCTATTTTAACGAGTAATTGGCATTTGTTTTGTTAATAATTTTATTTATTTATTTTAATTTTTTTATTATCAAATATCAATATATTAAATATCATATCATTTGAATATAAAAATAAATGATAAAATTTAATGATTTATAAATATTAATTTGATGATGATCAAAATTCTATATTTTTAACATTAGATAAACTAAATGTCTATATTTTAAAATAGAGAAACTAAAATTATAGATTAATAAAAATGGAGAGACCAAAAATATAATTTAACTTAAAAAAAATTTACACTTGCATTTGATAATATTTTTACCGGACTATTACATTGTAATTAAATTAAAAAGATTAATAATACTACGTTTCTTCAAATGATTTAAATTTAGTTTAGATTTTTTGGTGTATATGTATTTAGTTTAGATTAGCTATATTTGTAATGGTTTTTGCACGGCTACTAAATTTGCAATCGTATTTATTTATTTTTGTTACCTAACATTTTTTTTAACAACAAAAGTTTAGATAATGATAAGATAAGATTTCATCTAATATTAAAGTTGACTATCAACTTTTTTGAAAACTTTTAATGAGATGTTACCTAATAGTCTAAAACACATTTAAATATTTAAACACAAAAAATTAAAGTAATACTTGTAATGAGATGTTACCTAATAGTCTAAAACGCATTTAAATATTTAAATACAAAAAATTAAAGTAATATTATTGATATGCAGTCTTTATAAAAAATAAATATACATATATTACAACTCGAATTTTTATAGTTTTGCAAGAAAAAAAAATTCATAAAACGTATACTTAATTTTATAGACAATAACTTAACAATTTGAACTGAAATTGTTCACAAACATCTCCAACTGTTGTCAGACATTTTTAACTATCATAAAACGTTAACTTTTGCAAATATTAATATATGTAAAGACAAAAATTATATGCATAAATCATCTAAGCATTTTCAAAAAAGAAATAAATTATCTAAACAATAATCAAACGTCCAAAATAAAATTTAACTTGTTTTAGTATTTTTTTTTTTTTTAAATCAGGCTGAAACTATATATATATACAAGTGTAACTAATTTATACAACCCAGCAAAGCTAATTGCCAACGCAACTAATGATATAGCTTTTCCAACCATAAAAATAGACATAGTTGAAGCTTCGTCATTAGTTTCAAATTTCATTCTCTAAAACCTTCTTATCTCCGCACCTAATGACCCCTCTGTATCAGGTACCAATCTCTGCATTCATTCTTTTTTCTCATTTATGTTTGGAATGCCAATTCAATATGATCTTCACCATCAACTATTATTGCTGCTGCTAAATGTTCCATTAAGAATATTCATCCCTTGTATAATACATGTGAACATGTGTTAAATCTAAACATTAATTGGATGAGGTTGTTTTATTTTTTGTTTTTGCATTTAGTGTAACATCTGAAGAAACTATTTCCGGAGTTGGATCTGCTGACTTATAATCATCAAGGAGAAAGTTGATCAATGGATGATGCTGGAGGGTCGAAATTGAATGGAATTAAGCAGATAGTGAGATTGAAGGAAATGTTTCAGAAGTGGCAAAGTGTGACTCTGGGATCAAAAGAGTCCAACAACAACCATTCTGATGTGACTCATGATCATGGTCATGGAGGCATATCACCAATGATTAACAAAAGGCTAACAAGTGTTGTGTATTGTGACTCTGATGAGGATAGTTGCTACAGCCCTCAACCACCACATGATGTTCCCAAAGGCTACTTAGCCGTCTATGTTGGGCCTGAGCTTCGGAGATTTATCATTCCCACAACCTACCTTAGCCACTCTTTGTTCAAGGTTTTGCTCGAAAAGGCTGCAGAAGAATTTGGATTTGATCATAGTGGTGGACTCACCATTCCATGTGAAATTGAGACCTTTAAATACCTCTTGAATTGCATGGAGAACCATCATGATAGCTCCAGTAAGTTATTTTTCTTATTTAATATCATTTCATATAGGTTGTTATTTCCAGAAATTAGTCTTTGGAATATCCTGAGTTCACCTAAAAAAATATAGCTTTCTTTTTTAAAAATAAATCTCGCTTTTCAAGAGATTAGTCTTTATCCAACCATCTAAAGCTGGTTTATGTTTATTGAGCATCTTAATGGATCCAATTTATTTTTCTTTATTTTCACCATTATCATACTGCTTATAAATGAATTTGCTCTTCACCAAGGTGAAAAAGAGAGGAAGAATATTCGTCTTTGTTGTTTGATCTTTTTCACCTTTTCCAATAGTAATATACAAATGTATAATTCTATACCATTTTATTATATCATTCTCACACAAGAACAATAAAACAAGAAAAACGCATGAATTCAAAGGCATTCTGTCTATGTTTTACTTTTGCAAAACAATTGTGAAAAATGGTGTGCAATGGGGTATGAGTAACTCTTTCCTTTTTAACTAACTTTCAGACTCTTGGTGGAATTGCAGCTGGAAACACAGGAACTATGGAAGAATAATAAATTACTCTGATCCATATAGAGGGGAAATCATAGTGGTTGTTTCAAGTGTAAGGGAGATTTCACTTGCTTCCTTCTTGGTTTTGATTTCTTACGTGAACAATGATAGAATACCACAATTAGAAAAGTTTCTGATGCCTCATTTGTTTGTACTTTGTAGAACAGTTGTTAAACATCTATGTACTTTGTTTTGGTTTAAGAATTCCATCCAATGTTCTCCTAATACACGTACTTTGCCAACATATTCAAATAGAACATTTTTGACATGCAATGAACATTATCCACTAAGGGATGTGAAAATGCGTTTCTTTTTTGGGTTACAAGTACTTGATTTTCAGTTGTGTCGTTCTTAATCATCATTCACCTGATCGAGGCTTGGTTCATGCACCTCTAATATGGTTTTATCATGAGATGTTGAAAACTTTACGCAAAGCTATTTCTTTTTCTTAGAACGTGGATTATAGATTTAATTTAGTTTAAAAAAATTAATTTATAAAGTTAAAATTGTTCTCATTTTTATAAATTTTTAATTATTTTATTTCTATATGAAATTTAAATATTTCTTAAATGATGAATAATACATTTTAATGATTTAGGATAAATAAAACTTAATTTTTTTAATACATTTCTCATATTCAATATTATTATACTTGATACGTATATCAAATGATGAATAATTCTTTTACGTAAATAGCTATGTTATTATATTAAAATGTGAATTATAGATTTAACTTAATTTTATAAAATTGGTTTATAATGAAAGAATTATTATTTATATATTTTTTGATTGCTTTATTTTTAATTTATCAATGTGAAATTTAAATTTTTTTATTACTTTTCTTGTTTGAAAAGGAGAGTAATATAAAAATGTGATCATCATGTGCTTCTATACATAATCTTTGAATCAAATCCCGTTTTGAGCTGTCGCAGTTCCATTCAGACCATATGCCGATTTATTATTTACTATGCTTTGATGTCCTGAAAATAAAGCATACGTTATTCTCTTCTTATCATATGCGCACATGATGGATGGGAGACAACATGAATGTGATTTCTAAAAAGATCCGATATTTATTCTTTTTATATTCATTATTTATATATTAATATGATGATGTTGAAGAAACGTGTTACGTGTCCTTGTTTTTGGGCCATGGCTCATGAACAAACATTGTCCTTGCACAACTACTTGGGTTTCTTGCTTTTCATTTTGGCTGATGATATATACACTTCCATTTTTTTATACATACACCCCCTTTTTAAAATAAATATATTAAATTTTTAAATTATCCTTAATATTAATTAAAATATAAAAAAATTATCGTGGAAAGTTTTTTTTGGAGGTGTATTTGTACATAATTATGGAAAGTACTTTCTAGAATACTAAAATTACTATTCCGGAAAGTACTTTCCGGAATACTAAAATTACTATTCCGAAAATAACTTTCCGTCGGAATAATTCTAGAAAGTACTTTCCGTAACACTAAAATTACTATTGCGGAAAGTTCTTTCCGGAATTATGGTAACATACACACACTGTTAATATTTCGGAAAGAATTTCTACAATAGTAATTCTAGTGTTACGGAAAGTATTTTCCATAATTATTTCGACGGAAAGTTATTTCCGGAATAATAATTTTAGTATTCTGGAAAGTACTTTCCGTAATTATTCTGACGGAAAGTTCTTTTCAGAAGGCTCATGATATATACACTTCCTGTTTTTTTTTATAAGTACACCTTCTTTATTTTTTTTAAAAAATTATAAAATATTATATATATTTTTTACTTTTAACTTTCAATTTTCTGCTATTTTTTTTTCACACACTTTGTTTTCTCTTTCAATTTTTACATGCTACCAAAATAGGTGGGGTGAAGGAAAGATAACGGGATGCATGTAAAAATTGAAAAGAAAAAAAACGAAGAAAGATCTGTAAAAAAAAAGTACTAAATTAAATATTGTGAATGTAAAATTAAAAAAAAAAGCAAAAAATTAAGAATATTTTAAAATTTTAATTATTTTTTTTGAAAAAGAGGTGTACTTATAAGAAAAAGGAGGTGTATATATCATCAACTTTTGAAAAACACTTTCCAGAATAATTTTTTTTATTCCAAATAATATTAAGGATAATTTAGGAATTTAATATTTTTTTTTAAAAAAAGGAGGTGTATGTATAAAAAAATGGAGGTGTATATATCATCAACCTTTCATTTTCTATTAATGGGCTTGCTTTTATCAATGTTCATCAAATCAAACATAAATAGGGGTGTAAACTGAATTGATACGAACTGACTTAATAAGTTTAAATTAAATTTTTAGTATTTAAATCAGAGCTAATCTAACTGGATAAAATTTAATATTGTATAAATTAAATTATGAATTTTATGTTTTTAATTCATAACCTAATCCAATTTGATTATATAATAATAATAATAATTTTTTATCATTTGTTCAAGATAATATTTTATGTCATTGTATTTTAGATTAATAATATTATAAAAATACAACATATTTATCTTAAACTTTATTTTATATTAATATTTATTGCTTGAATCGATAATAATGTAACAAATCAACAAAATTATTTTAAAATTTAGTTTATATTAATATTTACTTTATTGATTAATAAAAATACATTTATAATAAAATATCAAATAATTTACATATATCAAATTATTTAAATCATTATTAAAAATAAATATTTAATTAAGTTGATTCGATTGACATAATTTAATTCAACCTGTTCATTGATGATTAGATTGAATTAAATTAAATTTATAAAAAATACAAATTTAACTTAATTTAATCTATTGAATTTTGATCAATTTAAATAACAGATTTATTCAAGTCCGTTCCAACCCAACTCAACCAACTTATATTCCTGTTTGGCATAGAAATTAATTTGTAAAACATAGAAGTCATTTTAAAAAATGTCAGTTTGTGTGGTGACATAAAAGTGTCTATTGGGAGTGCAGTATCTAATTCATTTCTTTTGGAGTTGGACCCAAAAACCCAAGTCCAAGTCATTTAAAACACACAAAGAGACTTATTCACATACAACGCGCCGTTTCAATATTTTTAAACTTTAAGCATCTCATTTCTCACATTGAATCCTCTACGGGTTCTCATAACCATTTTTGTCATTCTCCCGACAATAATCAGTTTACTAAATTTCGCGCATGCAGAGGACTTACCAAAACCAAGATTGGGAGTCTTACATAGAAAACGTAGATGCTATTCTCTAGACACCAATTCACATTGATCTCACATAATTGAGCCTGTGTCAAACGTGCATCTCCTGAACTAATCCGTTAATAGTTTTATTTACAGACCAATTAAAATGGAAGTTTTAAACAAAAAAGATATAGAGTAAACACTATCCAGCGTCACACAGAAAATGCAAGGGTCACTTTACAAACTGACAAGAATTATTACCAGCCCCATTTTTCCTCCATTGCTGAGATGATCCATCTCAAGCATTGAGTAGCATCTATATCAGGACCAGGAACTGCAAATAAAAGAAAGTAAATTAAAGGTAAACATTAGATCATGTAAAATCCTGGTTTCCTTATATTTTGAAGTTATACAGAGCCAAAATCATCTGCAAGTTTAGAGACTAAGTTAGAAGAAATAGATGAGTAAAATAACTCTAAAACGAAGGTCATACCTCCCACAAGATCATCAATATGGTCCTCAATCTGAGTGCCAATTTCACCAACCTGAACACATTTAAGATTTAAGCATATTGTAAACACCTACTATTACTTTCTAACACAAATTACTAAATAATACTTCCTTAACACTAGAAGGAAATATATTATACAGAAAAATATATTATACAGACAGACACAACAAACGAAAATAGAAGGAAAGAGTCAATTCTTATCTGGTAGCTACGCACCACAAACACACAAGTTTGTTCATAAGAAGCATCTCTGATGTAGTCTCTGTAGTACGTGCGCTCTCCGGAACGGTCATTATCTCTATAAATGCAACCTAAGCTCATAATTCTACGTCGTTTAATCATTCCAGTCAAATTTGATAACCTACTACAAAAGTGCAAACAACATTTAATATTTCTTACCCAATATTTGATTGTTTGCAGGTAGACTGGACAATATGCTTGAAAAGTTGGTTATCATCCGCCAAATCACTTGGCCGTTGTCTGGGTTAGTAATTTTTCCAGTTTTGAACAGGTCACCTGCAAAAATATTTGTAAAATTCTTAACAATGAAAAGGGGGTAAAGTGTCATCAGATCTCAAATTGTTGATAGTAAGTAGCAACCAAAGACTGTGTTCAGTCGTGAGCCTAAAAAGACTAGGAAAATGAAAATGGAGAAAATGCTAAAATTATTTACTCAGTTGTGCTTCAAAAACCGTGGGTTCAGTGATTCCCCTTGCATTGGGGTCGAGCTCATAGTAACCCATTGGTCCAAAATTTACATAGATGGCACGTACAAAGCCAGCAATATTGAGTCTGCTTGATAAAATTTCTTCCACGGGCTGAAAACAGAACAGTAACTAACTTAAAAAGGTGAGTGAAGACAGTAAAAATCTACTTATTCTTAATCAAGTGATTGATCTTAGAAGAAAATTTCAAGAAGTCAGTGTGAGACACCGCACAAAAATCATGTGCCTTTTAGATTTAGGGAAGTCCAGTTTTAACCAGAGTCAATAGAGAGAATTGTTTCACAACAGCACCCGAACTCCAAATAAAAATATATTAACACCATGCAATCAATTTAAAATGAAAGACAAAAGCACAGCTGCATCATAAAAACACAATTTTTTTGTTGCTTACACCTATATAAAATTTCAGATGTTGTCTTATTAATTAAGCAATAAAATGGAGTGGTTAGCCAGAAACTTGAATGCTTTAACAGAGAAATTGGAGTTGCAATAGGACTATTGAGTATTGACATAGTTTCTCTGTTAAAGGACAGAATACAACTCTGTTATGTTAAAGCATGCATTCCTTTCAACAAATATGTTAGTCAGATTGCATTCCTTTCTAAGGAAAGAAGACAAATTTTTAACTATGTATCAATCAACTTCATGAAAAGAACAAGAAGGCAATTTGCATGTAATTTGGCACAACAGAACCCCTTTTTTATATGCTTAATAGATTTATTTAAATTGCTAACTTGACAATCTCTATTATGACCATCACTGGTAAAGGAAATTCAGGGTCTTAATATTTTTCAGAATGCCGAGTTCATCAAGCCATCAGAGAGTCCATCATCAAAGATTTCATTTAGTGTGACTGCAATTTTGTTTCTCAACTGCAACCTTAGATCATTAGAATTCAAAAACTAGTAATTTTATTACCGGGATGGATGACCTTAGTGGATTTCTGTTGACAAAGGCTGCAAAATGAACAAGCTATGTAAAGATAACTTTGTAATAGGTGGACCCGTTGAGGTGTTTATTGCTAGGAAAAAGCTGTACAAGGTTTTACTTGGAGCAGTGCAATTTGAGCCAAAGCTTACATTGGGTAATTCAAGTGCACTGCTTGTTGACCTCAGTAGTCCTACCCTATTAAATTGGTTTAACTTGTAGAATAAATGAAATTGAGAATGCCACTAAGATGTATATCTTACTGTAACTCTTTGGTTTAACTTTTTAAGTGCGTATCCATCAACTTAAGGTAAAAGAACAAGAACAGGGTAATTTGATTCACTAACCGAGACATAAGTTGCAGCAATACTTTCAACGCGATAGGGATAATTGAGCTCGGTCTGCAAAATCAAGATGCAATTTTTAGATAAGGACTAAATGAAATAGTTACAAAAATAAATGAAATTCTTTCTGAGTTATTAAAAGAGTAATCCCTTTTCAAGTGTTTCTTGCATTTATTTGCCAACTAAATTTATGTTAACCATTTTTTTTAAGTAACTATGAATTCTTGTTGCTTCTTGTAATGTGTAAAAGACAGGGATAATTAAAGATTACCTCATCGTCATCGAAGTAATCTTGAGCGTCAAATTGATATAAAAGATCATCGAGCAAGAAAATGACTCCTTCAATGGGGATACCACCCCTGTCGCTGTTGGAATCATCAGAATCATATTCTTGGCCACCCATCGCTGACAATGTGAGAGAGAAAATAAATGGCGGGTAGAATCAAATGCTACCTTTAACTTTTCTTTCTTTTCTATGTTATGTGCTGACTGGAAAAGAGACACTTTATATAGTATTTATTTTTCAAGAATTTTATTTATTGTTGCAGAAAACCAAAAATACTGAATATGCTTCTCAAAATTAAATTATTCAATACCCGATTGTAACGACCCGGCAGGTCACTACACTCACCACACAGTACACCAGAAACTCGAGACAGGATAGAACGAGTATATAAATATAGTGTCTAGAATATAAATATATACATTGTCCTACATCCGACTAGAGTTAGAGTGTAGAATACAAAATACATCCAAAGCCACTATATCAAGCAGCCGTAACAAAACAAAACAAAACATCCATAGGAGTCAGCTCCGCCTACCAGCTGCAGACTCACCACTATCCACCACCTATCCCTGCTCTGCTCCCATACATAGTATGATCATTGCAGTCCAACCACATGGAAACAACAAAAGGGTAAGCTAGCATAAAAAGAAACAACATGTAGAAAGATTTAAGTAATATAAACAACTACAACTATCAATACTTCATCAACATACATCCCATCGGTTTTTCAACATGATTATCAATGAGCATACAATGCGTCGTCACGCATATCAACTCGGAGATCTCCTACAACAACTCAGCCTTTCGGCCTACGTCAACTCAGCCTTACGGCCTACAACAACTCAGCCTTGCGGCCTACAACAACTCAGCCTTGCGGCCTACAACAACTCACATCAATATTCCAGCACAACATAACTTATACATTTCAACATATCAACTCACAGTTCAACAAATCAGCCACAACATAACCCTACTTCTCAACACCTTCATCAGATACAATTTAATATCAATAATAACTTTATCTTCTAGACATCATTTCATAACCTTCTATTTCAATTCAACTCAGCACAAAACTTCATACATAACCATCCCTTCTCCGCGCCCGGCGCACACGTGGCTGCGCCCAGCGCAGCGCAACCAGAGAGCACCAGGGGGCCAGCGCGTCCAGCGCAGGTGTGCCCGCGCCCAGCGGGACTCAACCAGAGAACCCAAAACTATCTCGCGCTTAGCGCAATAGTCTTTGCGCCCAGCGCTAGCCGGGCAGAGACTCAAGGAGTCCCATGCGCCCGGCGCACTAAAACCCGCGCCCAGCGCGGGGAAGGCAGAGACCTCCCTTGGTCTCGCGCCCAGCGCAATTCAAATTGCGCTCAGAGCCCACAAGGCAGAGACTCCTAAGGAGTCTCACGCCCAGCGCGACAAGGGGCGCGCTTAGCGCCCAAAAGAAGAACCAAAACCTGCCACAACTGGTATCGCGCCCAACGCGGTCCAAGTCACGCCCAGCGCGGGCCAGTCAGAGACCCACATTCTCAAGCGCGCTCAGCGCACTCATCATTGCACTCAGCGAGCTTAGCCAAATGGGGTCTCCTGGTGGCCATGCGCCCAGGCGCGAAGAACCGCGCTCAGCGCGAAGCTCAGCAGCAGCCAACTATTTTCGAAAAACTCTTCAAAAATTTGTAGAGTAATAAGAGAACCCCACATGCAATCAGTCCGATTTACTATAATTCCATCCAAGAGTCCAAAAATACCACCTTTTTCAACATGCAACAACAATTCAAAGATTTTCCCCAAAATTTCTCAACAACCCCGAAACCCCAAAGAAAACAAACTTTCTTTCAATTCAACCACGAATTATCCATCAATCAGCATCTAATGAGTTTCTAGAACTCGTCCTCAACCACAAACAGCAAAGAAAGAAACAAAAGTACTAGCTTCCCTTACCTCGGCCAAAGATTTTCGAGCTTCGGGTGGAAAAGAATGAAGGAGAAGAGAAGCTTGGAAGTGAACGGAGAAGAAGTCAGCTGGAGGAATCAGTTCACACCCCTTAAGCACCTTCAGCTGCTAAGAATTGCCACCAGCAAAAGAGAGAAAAGGAGAAGTGAGTATTTGGAGAGAAAATGAGTTGTGTGGGGAAGGGTGAGTGAGGCTGAAGAAAAAGAGTGTAAGGGTGAAAATGGGAAATGAAAAAAAATAGGGTCCTCACACTGATTATTACTATATGTATAGATTAAATTTTGTTTGACTAATTTCGTAGATAAATGATTTTAAGATATTTAATTTAGTTTAAATATAACATTAAAAATCAATTTTTACATGATAATTCAGTTTGAAAGGAAAAAAATTATTATAAATAAATAAATTTCAAACTTTTACTTTCATAAAAAAAATTATTTATAAAAAAACTATTTCCAAATTTGTCATTATTTCAAAAACATTATATTTGCAAACAACTTTTTTTCTTCAAAAAAACAACTAAAATGAAATATTATAATATCTCTGAAGTAGGTAAGGATAGAAGCGACAATAAATTGAGTCAACTCACTTAAAATTTAATTTAATAATTAATTTATTGAACTTAGTTTATAAACTAAATGAACTAATTTTGAACTAAAGATTGAACTCAATAAATAAATGCGTCAAATTTGAGTAACGTATAATTTGTCTTGTTTAGTTTAATTAGCTCGACATATAAATATATAATTTATATAATTAACTTTTTATTTAATTTTAATTTATTAAAATTTAAAAAAATTTCAAAATATAATTATAAGTTAATAATAATTGGACACATTAAAATTTCATGGATATGAATCACATTTTCTATTATTTTATATAAAATAGAGTAGTTTTTATTTTATAAAGATTTTGGTTGTAATTATAACTAATGGTTTGTATAGATAACTAACTTGAATTGGTGTGAGTAGTGAGAAATTCATGTTGTGAATGTAAAAAATTCAAATTGGGAGGAGATGTCTACTTATTTAGTGTTTATCAAATCTGGAGAGAGTTTGTCCCTCTATTCAACAAGAAATACTCCTCTTTCCCCCTAAACTATGTTGTTTGGTATGATTTTCGTATTCAAATGTGAAACTAAATTTTATATTTATATATTTCAAATGCGTAATTTATGTATACGACATTGGCACATAACATAAAATGTATTTCATAAAGTTGTAAGTTATTAAGCTAAATTTTAGAATAGAAATTATGAATTATTTATAATCTTCAAAAATATTTTTATTTTATGTTACAAACTATACATATGGAAAAATATATTTAATATAAAATTAAAATTATATTAAATAAATATTTTCACTAAAATAATAAGATAAAAATTAGTCATAAATACTTTAAAATTTTTAGTATACATATACTTTAAATTTTATTTTTGATGTATAGTTTTTAAATGAATAACATAATATTATATATTTTTAGTTAATTTTTTAATCATATAAATTATATTTTAAATTTATAATAAATAATTTTTATTGTGACATAAGATTAATTTTTATTATTGTTATTTTTTAAAAATATTAAAATTTAATTTATAAATAAATATGATAAATAAAAATTAAATTAGATAAAAAAATTAAAGAATCTCTTAATATACTAGGGTGACTATAGATCCCAAACAATCCAAAAATCTAATAAGCTTGTGTCAAATTATAGATTTTGATGATGAAAATCCAATCCAATCCAACTAATCAATTAACATATTTATATTTATAATCTATAACATATATAAAGGAGAGGGTCTGATTTGATCTACATATTTTTAAATAATCTTATTCTTTAATTTTTAAATAATAATAAAATAATATTAAAAATTAATTACTCTTACTAATACAAGATTTAAACCTAAAGATCTTGAGGTTTGAATTAAACAAACATTTATAATTCTTAAATATCTTTATTAAATAAAATATAGATAATGTTTCAACCCCACTTATTACTAATAAAGAAAATTATTCCATTTGGTATACACTTTTATTTAGATAACTATTTCCTTGCAATCATCTCTAAAATTATTATTTATTTCTTCACCATTTTTATTTATTAAAATACCTTTATAACTACAACTACCGAAAATCGTTTACACTCTCTTATTATTAATCATTCATTTTTATTTTATTTTTTATTTCATAAAAATACACAAACGTAGGAAGTGACTTTATTACTTCAATATATATTATTAAAGTTTAGAGTTTATCGGTAAATAAAATTATTTTAGTGTTTGAGCTAAAAGTCTAGTCTAACTAATGCCAAAACCATGAACCAAAAAATTGCTAAACACTCTACCAAAGTAACAAGCCCTTTCAATTATCACTGGAAATACCAATTGAGCTTCAAATCTTTATATAGCAGAACAAGATGTTTGCACTTGGCACTTGAAAATAAAGTACTAACACCTTCAGTCCCAACACATGATAATCATATTTGTAAATTGTATTAAGTTTTTCTCATAAACCAAAAAACTTAAATACATGTTTTATAAAAATTGATTGGATCATAGATACTTAGTAGTCTAAATTATCTAATAATTTTTTTTCTTCCCACGTCCTTTTGTTGGTTTTGGCTGCATTCTAAAAAGGCTTCACACTCTAACAAGACCTACCCTCACTCTTTTCCGCTTTATTTTAGTTTTTCTTTTATATAAATATATAACTTATTATCTTGCTAAAACTATTTTTTTACGACTAGATGTGTTAATAATATTAATATAACAAAGCAAGGAAAAGAAGGAAAATAAATGAAAATTTATTAAGTAAAGGAAAAAACCTATTTAATAAATAAACTTTAATAATAACCACTTTAGATATATTTCTAATTTGTTTATTATGAAATATAAAAGATAAATGGTAATTACTTTGGATGTAATTTTGATTTGATACTTAAAAAAATAGTCTTACTGGCCATTAATTTTTGAGAGTCTGAATAAACATTCAGAAATTTTAGAATTTTGGCAGTTATATTTATAGAAGGTGTAATTTGTTTCAGCGGTCAAAAACCGTCACAAAATTTTAAAAATATTTTTAATTATTTAATTGATTTCCGGTGAAGCTTTGAGTCACTTGAAACATTTTATCCATGATGAGGCGGCCACTGTGTTTCACTTAAAACATTTTTTATTAAAAGATAAAAAGAGATGGGTAATTTTATTTTTAAAAAAAATCAA